AGCATAAAGGAAGCACAGAACCATTTAAACTCCTACAAGTGACCAGACTTTGGGGGTACAGATCTACTGGAGGAACAGAACTTAAGTGCATACATTGGATGGTAGTGTTAAATTATGAAACGTAATTCATGATTTAATATTTTCATTATCGGAGACTCTATACTAGATGGCATCCAGGGTCAGAATGAAAGCAGTAACCAGCAATGGAAAGCCAGTGTATTTTTGCTTCTGTGCTAGCAGTTTCCCAGTGGATCCTAAGAGCAATAGTACTAAAAGATAATTGGCTACTCTAAGTGATGACCAAAATGCTCTCCATTGGAAGGGACATGGAGATGAAGAGATAAGGAAAAGTTTCATGTGATGGCTACAGGGCAGACTACAAGTTGGAAAGATGAGGGTAGAGGAATTTTAAAAGTATAAAATAAAGGGTATTAAAGTGAACACACAGTCTTGTCTCAAATGAGGAGAGGAAGTCTGTATCAAGAAATTTTAGGATAAAGAAAAAAGATTTCTGTGCAGATGGAGTACATAAATGAAACTCTACCTTTCAGGGTTGGGAGATTTTGAAATATAATAGATTTAGCTAAGTTTAATGGATGATAAGTCTGTAAGAGACATCATCTCTCATGTCTATCTTGAATATGGATTAGATGAGCCACTCACCGCCTAACCCAATAATAGAAATGTTAGTAGGCATATCACTAGCAAAAAAAAAAAAAAAAAAAAAAAAAAAAAAAAAAAAAAAAGAAAAAAAGAAAAAGAAATTATCCCACAGTAGTGAGCATGCAGGCAGGTAGGCCTTATTTTAAACATAAGGCTGGGAATCTATACAACTCTGTGCACTTATAAATGAAAACAACTTTTGAACAAGCACTCAGAGAACCAGGTCTTAACAGAAATTGACTTCTACTGATCTGTAAAAGAAATATTGTAAGAACTGGAAAGAAATAGAATATCCTCATAGATAACTGGTATGACTGAAAGAGAACATCTAGTTTACACAATGTGTAGCCAACATTTTCAGCTTGGTATTCTACTGTTGCATGTTTGAGGTTGAAATGCCTTTTCTGTTGTTCAGAGACCTTAGGGGTAATACCGTATTAATACCCTTAATCTATAATCCTAACTATAGTCCTCAATTTATCAAAATCTTATTCCCAGTCTTTTCCCTTTGTCATAATTCCTGGCAACTTTAGTTAACATATGCAATTCTTTTGTTTATGAAATACTTCTTAAATCCCTAAAAATATAGATGTTTCTTAGGAAAGGAATAAACCCAATTAACAATCATCCTTTCTAAATCTCTGTGTTGTGTATTTTATTTAATCCTTTAACGATTAGGATGGATAGTTTTAACTCTCAGTTTGGATCCATTCCATGATAGTACATTTGAACAGAAATAAAAATGTATTCTTATACATTAACAACTTTGCAGAAAACCTCAATATTGTGCTAATCATCATATATGAAAAATTTCAAATATATGAAGTATTGGGGTACCTGGGTGGCTCAGTCAGTTAAGCGTCTGACTTTGACTCAGGTCATGATCTCATGGTTCGTGAGTTCGAGCCCTGCATCGGGTGGACCACTCAGAGCCTGGATCCTGTTTCGGATTCTGTCTCCCTCTCTCTCTGCCCTCCCCCACTCACGCTCTGTCTCACTCTCTCAAAAATAAATAAACATTAAAAAAATTCAAATATACGGGGCGCCTGGGTGGCGCAGTCGGTTAAGCGTCCGACTTCAGCCAGGTCACGATCTCGCGGTCCGTGAGTTCGAGCCCCGCATCAGGCTCTGGGCTGATGGCTCAGAGCCTGGAGCCTGTTTCCGATTCTGTGTCTCCCTCTCTCTCTGCTCCTCCCCCGTTCATGCTCTGTCTCTCTCTGTCCCAAAAATAAATAAACGTTGAAAAAAAAAAATTTAAAAAAAAAAAAAATCAAATATACAAAGTATCAAAATGAATAAAACTGTATTAATACCTTAACAAAAGAGTTAAGTCTCAGGATCTTGGCTTAGTGGTTCCCAGACTTTTAGATTTCATGGAGTAGTTAAAAAAAAAAAGTGGGGACCAATATAGGGCTGCCAACTTTTTATTTTGCCAATTAAAGATATTTAAAGCAACTAATACTACATCAACATTTCATAAAAGGATAGTTCAATACCACAAAAGTAGGAATAATCTTATAATAAAAATTAAATTCAAACTGATAACCTATCAGCCTTTTTCTTTTTTCCTTTGTGGATGCTGAAAATTTAGGCTTGGCCTAGAATTTGCAAACAAATTGCGTAAAACGCCATTTTATTCAACCATTTTAGGGGCTGAGAGGTGAGTGGCTTTGCCTGAAATCAGTTTGTGAAGAATAGCTTCTAACAACCAGTAGATAACATACTCTCACAGTACACAAGCACTAAACATGTTGCCAATTAGGAACCAAAATCAATGTTTATCTTAAAACCAAACCAAACCCAAATCCTTCATAACTAATGAAAAAAATCAAATAAATCCATGTACTTTGTAGTATAAAGTCTTGGTATACACAACTGTACCTGCTACAATTTGTGAAGGAAAACCCCAACACATAAGTTATCATAATTATATAACCTATGTTACAAATGATATAATCTTATCTGTAAGCTTTTAATTCTCCAAAATGTTCATTCTCAATTATATGGTTTATGGAAGATGCTTAATAAATGTCTGTTGCACAGATGAGTGCCACTTTCAGTCATTGCAAAACAAATTTCTTTGTAACATTAAAAACTCTCAACCTTGCACAAATTTCTATTTTGGAAATCACTGGAACATGTATGTACAGACACAAAAAGATGGTGGTGGTGTGGGGGAACCCTATTTGCCTGATTTCTCAAATGAAAAAGCAATCAGAAGCTTCAGCGTGCTTAAATAAGAACAGTATTTGCACACAAGGACTTTGTATAAAAACATCACATTAATTTAACCACAACCACTTCACCTTTTTAGGTTAAGTAACATGAAAGTTCTAAAGGAATTCTAACTCAAAAGCATGTACCAAAATGTTAACATGACCCTGGGAATACATTTATCTAAATATTTTGGATGATCAAAATGCTACAGTAGATATGCATTTCAATTAGGTGATCACTTCTCATTTCACTATAAACATACACATAGTCTTATCACTTTGAAAAAGTTTTCAGAATTGGCACTAATTTCTTCCCCCTCTCTCCCACTAGCCATAAAAGTGCATGACTGATAATGCAATTTCAAATTCAAAGTTAAGGAAACCGTTTAGTCTATTAAAAGGATGTCCCTGTATCAGAAACAGCGAGTTCATGGACTTACTTTTTAAACAATTAACATTTAAAAGCATGACAATTCTTGGGGTGCCTGGGTGGCTCAGTCGGTTAAGCCTCTGACTCTTGATTTTGGCTCAGGTCATGATCTAATGGTTCATGGATTTGAGCTCCTTGTCAGGCTCTGTGTTGACGGTGTGGAGCCTGCCTGGGATTCTCTCTCCCTGCCGCTCTCCTGTTCTCTCACCTGCTCTCAAAATAAATTAAAAAAAAAAAACAAAAATTTAATGTTTATTTACTTTTGAGAGACAGCACAAGGTTGGGGGGGTGGGGAGAGAAAGAGAGGAAGACACAGAATTCAAAGCAGTCTCCAGGCTCTGAGCTGTCAGCACAGAGTCTGACAAAAGCATGGTGCTTCTTTTGCAGACCCACTGGTACTTACTTAAAACAGGAGGAAGAGGCATGGAAAGAAAATCACCTTAAGGAACTGATAGGTAGAATCAGAGTTTGTAGTATTTTAGATTTTGTATTGAAGATGTGCCTTAAAGACAGGTCTAAGTAAGTCCTATAAGCTGCTTAAAACCAGTATACACAATTTTGGTATAAACTTTATGTGCTGTAATACACAAAATTGTACATTAAAAAATATCAGTGATCCTACATAATATAGGAATGCTGATAGTTGGTTTGTTGATTCCTGTGATTTCCAAGGTAATTCTGAATTTTATCAAGTAGAAACGTGTTACCTACTACTACTGAGAATTCATGTATACTAAAAGAAATGATGGGAATATTTTCATTACCTTTGTCAATTTCAATTGTATGCCTGTATTATGTATATATCTTGTCCTGATTTTTCCTTCTGACTCACAAAACCCAAAGAACTAATCTCCTTTAAAAATACATGTATTACTACTCCTGTCTTCATATTTTTTTGCTCCTAGTATTTTCAGTTTTCACATTTTTTTAAATGAATGCAATGATCTGAGTCTTCAAAGAATATTATATAAACAAAATCTTGTCTTCAAATTTTTTTGCTCTTAAAAATCATACAATTTAAGAAAATGTAATTATTTTTCTTCCCCGAATAGCATGTGCCTGAATCAAGAGTGGGAAATAAATCTTCTCGCGCCTTTTGATCTAGCTTTGTGACTACTATTTCTGTCATGGATGTGCAGCTTTGTGTTCAAGAGACTGGACATCATGTGTTCCAATTCCTTCAATGTCCCCGCCTCAAGTGCTTGACACTTCTTGGGCTGGAATTCTGGAGCATTACATTTTACAACTTTCTTCATGACTACTTTAAGACTATTACCACTTTGATCTAAATTTCCAGTATTGGCTCCTTTAATGGGTCAATTAAATATCCATGCAAATGAATAAAGAAGCTACTGTGCCCTTTCATTTTAGACCTGGACCACTTATAATTAAGCAGAATAACATTCAAAGTTCATTTTGATTAAAAACTATGAAAACATAAAGCTATATTTTCTTATTACCTCTGTTTGTCAAGAAGAGAATCAAGGTCATAACAGGTTTTTCCTATATTAAGAGATTAATATAGCTTAATCACACCCAATTTACTTTCTAGGTTAACTAAGTAATATTAAAAGGTGATGATTTTTCTTTGAAAGTACAATCTACATATACATCATTCTGAGAATAATTTAATGTATTAACTTCAACATACAACTATATTCTAATATAATTATTTTAAACGTAAAGAAACGGATCTTTACAAGACCAAGATAACCCATGGGCCATAAGGTTCGTTTTTACTTTTTCCTTTTTTTGTTTAAACAAATGTGTACCACGATGGTTCAACAAGTAAGAGAAATGCTGTGAGTATGAAAGCTGCAATTTGCAATGTATCACATCTAGAACCCAGGGGAAGTGAAATAGACAGAAGTGGTAGCCATTCCAATTAAACAATCAGGTAACATCATGACTAGTTGGTTTGCAGCATCAAAACTGTTCATTTAAGTTTCCTTTTTCTTAATGATCAGAGGTCCCACGTTGTCTCCAGTCTCTTCATTGTGTTTTGTGTGAGATCCATCACAGAATGGGAACTAGGAAAAGAGAGAATGTCAATGTCTAATTGCAACATCAGTATTAATTTGGTAGAGTAGGGGTGATGCTTAAGTCTCATATAGAACATGATAACTCTTAAAAAGATTTTCCTAGACCACCTTATCTAGGTGTTCTTATAAAGAGCCTATATATACCAAGTATATATACCAAGTAGAAGGAAGAAATCAACTTGTGAATAATACACAGATCATTATTTGCATTTCCATTTGTGATATTTATGGATGCTGAATACCTTTTTCATGTTTATAAGCTACTTAGTTATATTTCCCTTCCAGTGAACTATGTCCATTTCCCATTTATTTGTAAGAGCCTAAGTTCATTTGTTTAAAATCAATTTGTGTATTTATTATCCCTTTCCTGATCACCTTTGTAGCAATTTTCTCAACCCTTATTATTTTGCTTAGTTTTTCATATTAATTTCTTCACTTTCATACACATATGCCAGTACTTCCCCTTTTAACATACTTCATGGAGACATCTTTCTCTTAGAGATGTGGTATTTTTGGTATTTTCATTACTCTCCATGATTTCACATTTTAGATATAACTAATATTTTGGGGTCCAGTGGGAGAAAAAGTGAGAGAAGTAAATTTTTAACAGTGTTTCTCAGAGTATGCTCCAAAGAAGTTAAGTCCTGAAAGATGTTCTGATTTGGTTTCACTGCTTTAAAAACATACCAGGTAATTCTCCTGATTTGTAGCATACATTATTATTTAAAAGAAATCCTGCTATTAAAAAATACTATTTTAACTCAAAATTTCCCAGACTGACTGAACCATGGACACTTTTAGCTTTGATATGCATTATCCTAGTGTTCTATACAGCACACTTTACAAAATGCTGTTCTAAGATCCTGTTGCTTCAATATTAGAGGCTATACATTTATTGTTATACCTCTATTCATAATCTTAGCAAAGTAAGTTCTACCCATAAATGTCTATTTATAGGCTTTACATTGCCTACACTGCTGGGATAAAAACTGTGTTTAAAAAATATGCTTCACTATTTGGTATGGCTAGGTTTCCTTCACATTACTCTTGTTAGACCTTCCCTGTTTAGTCTCTACCTACCTTTATTAAACGTTACCTATTTACTCTTCCAGACAAATGAGGATTTTCTTTTGCCAAGTACAATTTAGATTTTCTTATAATTTTCATCTTCAGGTCTCATGTATACTCTGATAACATTATTTCTTCTGTATAGGTTTTATAAAAGTCATCATAATTAGGTATATTTTCATACTTAACTACTTATACTACATATTATCAATGGTTTTTGTAAGTACCGTATATCTTTCCTACTGTTAAATGATAAAAATAGGAATTCAACAATATTTTAGGTGTCTCCTCAGGTTTTTACACTTAGAAGGTCCAATTACACCAGTGAATTATTTTGTTTCCTCCTATATTTATACCATTTATTTTCATTTCACAATAAACAATGACAGCTAGCATCTTGGTTTTGTTCTTGATTTCTTAAATGTACCTACACTCTGAATCTAAAGTGTCACTATTTAGTATAATGTTCACTATTGCATTGAAGAGGCCTATTTAGAAGAGTAAAGTAATAGGAGGCTTAGCTTTAAGACTAAAATTGCCTTGGGGCACCTGAGTGGCTCAGTGGGTTAAGCCTCCAACTTGGGCTCAGGTCATGATCTCACAGTTCATGAGTCTGAACCCTGTGTTGGGCTCTGTGCTGACAGCTCAGAGCCTGAAGCCTGCTTCGGATTCTGTGTCTCTGTCTCCCTCTCTCTAGGCCCCTACCCCACTCGCTCTGTCTCTCTCTTTCCCAAAAATAAACAAACATTAAAAAAAAAAAAGATTAAAATTGCCTCATTACAGTGAAGGGTGTATAATTTTAGATACCTGAAATCAGACAGTGAAGGTATATAATCTTAAACTCTGACATTAGAAGCGTCGAATAATAAAATAATATTTGATTGATGTTAAGGAAATTCCATTTTAATTTTACTATTTATATATAATTTCAAGAGGCAGTAAATTAGTTAAAAATTACAGAAAAACCTAAGGTATCAGCATATCTAATATTTCCAAGTAAAAATTCTATTTTTGGGGTAGATGACAACATCAATGTAACATATATAAAGCTTTCATTCTTTCTTTCTTTCTTTTAGGTCAGTAAGATATGGTACACAGTATATTCGTGTTAAAAACAAGTCCTTATAGCAAAAACATCGACTTAAGCTTTTTTTCTTGGTATGGATGAGGAAAAAGGCCATAACAATCCATAAAAAATCAAACTAAAATGTACCCTGTAGCAAAGAACAGCATTTCAAAGTGACGTATGTTTAATCAACACAGGTGATTTTACAGTGAGAATAAAGGTTTACATTGTAAAAGACACTATTTTTTATATACAGCACACACAAAACATGTTACTGTAGTTTTACATATATGGTATAAATTGTATTTCTGAAAAATGAAGTATTTATCAATTAAAAAGCCTCAAAGAACTTACTGAAATAGAATGCGTATTTTTTAAATCTCATCTTAAATACTAGAAAAATAACTTATTTTAAAAAATGATTTTTCTCTATATATAGACTCAAGAACAGGAGACGGGGTGCCTGGCTGGCTCAATCGCTGGAGCATGTGGCTCTTGATCTTGGGGCTGAGTTGAAGCCCCATGTTGGGCATAGAGCTTAAGGGGGGGGGGAAAAAAAAGCACTGTGGGCACTGATAACTACTATGCCTAGATGCCAGAAGAACGGGAGAGAAATCTATAGAGAAATATACAAAGATAATCTAATGAAAGAAAGCCATACATCTAAAATGAGAATATGCTTTTTATATAATATCTAATTCTGCCTAAAAACTAAAATATGCCTGTTTCCTGTTTTAAAAGAAAAAAAAAACAAGTATTTCTTTAAAAAGCAGCAAATAGTAGATCCTATTTCTTTAATAAACTTTCCTGCTTTTATAATATATAAAGCTTTTTATGATTTTAAAGTGTAAACTAAGCGTTAAAAATCATTTTGTTCAGAGACACAGATGTCTCTTAATAGTACTTTCTTTATCACCCAATCCCAGGAATTACTGACTTAAGTCAGAATCCTCTTTCCAACTTCATGTGATTATATTTATTCATTAGAGAGTTTTCATTTTAAGTTAATGAAAACAGCAAAAAAAAAAATTTTTTTTTCAACCAAGGACCAAAATGAGTTACTTCAAGATTGGATTAGCAATCTCTTAAGAATACATTGTCCATATTAATGGAATATGCTTATTGAAATTAATTCATGATTCTCAATATATCAATACATAAAAGTAAAACCTAAAGAATCAAATAATTGATGGAAAAAAGTTTAGCTCATATGTGATTCTAATATCAAAGATGCCAGTGTTTGTTATTTAACAAATCCTGGAGAAAAGTTTGTAAATTAAATTGGCTGAATTTCCTGTATGTCCAGAAAATATCCTATTATGTTTGTTAACCCAATTAGAAAACTAATCCCAAATTATTTTTAAAATTAGGGAAGAGAAGGTTTAGAAAAGGGACTAGAATAAATGATTAGGATAAATAAAACTAGAGATTTTTGCTTCCGATTTGGAAAGCTAGCAACATCATCAGTCTTATGTAAAATATACAAGATTTGTTTCTTTTCAATCTCCCCAATCTCAAATTATGTTTCTGTTTTTTGGATTTTTCAAGATAAATAATAAATAAATGTTCCTCCAAATCTCTTCTCTCTGCAACAATTAAAAGAAAAAAACATTTATCTTCCTTCTCCAAACTTTGTATTTTTAATGAGTTTGGATTTTATTTCCCAAGGAGGTTGCCTGGGGCTATATTGACTCACTACCATAAACTGCTCTCAGAAATAGTCTTGCTTTGGTTGAGAAAGAAAACAAAAGCAGTAAGATCTGATACTGAGAGAATATGACATTTTATTCCATTCTTAGATACTTACTTTAGTAAAATGTAAGACAGTAGATATAACAGAATTACAAGACTGTCCTTATGTGATTTGGACAAGCTATGTAACCAACACTCAGAATTTTGTTTCTATGAAGAAATGGGCTCAGTGCACCATACCCTAAAACAAAAACAAGCCCACTACTAACAAAAACACCCAATTCAAATCATGAAGTTGTAAGTGAAACAAAATGATTCTATATAGTATGTTCAGTTGCATTTCAATTTCAATTGAGCTTCCGATAGTAACTGGCATGTCTTTCCTCCTTTTTTTGATTTCTTAGTGTGCATCCTTCTACTGTCCTTGTTCACCCTCTCCTGCCTCCTGGATGGCCAAAATACAACTGGGAGAGGGGGAATTAGCAAGACTAGGTTGCATACTCTTTCCTCTGACATCAAAGTTCTCTCATTTCCTTATTTCGAAAATAAGGCTTTCCCTTCCTTCCTGAGTTTCACCTCTGTGCTCTTACTCTCATTTCCTTCCACCCTCTTTCAAGAAGGCACTGTCTCAAATAATACTTCCTTACAGTCACTTTAATCATTTCTACTCTATTGGCTCCTTTCTTTCTCAAGTCACATATGGATAGCCCTTTTGTGAAATCCTATGAAGAGGCCAGTTTCTCAAACAGCAGAGGACATACCAATCCTGGGGGAAGAGAAGACTAATGAGGCAAAATGTAATTTCTGCACACTGCTAAGAGATCTGATTCATGAGGTCTGGAAAAACCACTAAAAATGTTAGACCCACACAATAGGTTACCAGTGATTGTACATTAAGAATGAATTAGAATTGAATTAAAGTTTCTATCACATGTAACTTTTCTTGAGATAGGTATAATTTTGTCATATTATAAACACAACCGGTTTGTATAAGGAAAAGATTACTGAAAATGAAATCAACAGAGTCATCTAATCAAAGGTATTAATTACAAGTCTTTTGTGCACTGACATGTAAATGTGTGAGTTGGCACCCCTATGATAACCTTAGGTACCTCAGGAACATGGGGAGTTTCCAACGATACCTGAAGAATAAGAACATCCATTAACATGAATAATATTAAAGGTAAATTCTTAATTGATTCTGTGGGAATAAAAAGTTTCTAAGATTCAGTGAAAATTTGGGGCGCCTGGGTGGCGCAGTCGGTTAAGCGTCCGACTTCAGCCAGGTCACGATCTCGCGGTCCGTGAGTTCGAGCCCCGCGTCGGGCTCTGGGCTGATGGCTCAGAGCCTGGAGCCTGTTTCCGATTCTGTGTCTCCCTCTCTCTCTGCCCCTCGCCCGTTCATGCTCTGTCTCTCTCTGTCCCAAAAATAAATAAACGTTGGAAAAAAAAAATTTTTTTAAAAAATAAAAAAAAGATTCAGTGAAAATTCATAACTGACAAATCCTAAAGGCAAAGGGGATCACTAACAGTATAAAAGATAAGCTTTAAAAAAAGTGGGGGGGGGGAAATGACTGGTCTGGCATTCTTTTCCTTGAAGTCTACCTGTGGGAATAACCACCTCTAGTTTAACCATCTAGAAACTCTAAACTGCATGATGAAAAAATAATCCTGGAATGTTTTGTTGAATTATAAAGGCTTATAAATAAACCATTTAAACCACTGTGTCCATTTGTGATTCTTCCTGAAATACTTACAATCTTAGTCCTTTTAAGTCCCTATTTGCTTTACTGACCTTTTCTTTACCCTCTGGGAAAACCAAACCTAAGCAAACATCTTTTACTTGACCCCCCAAATCTATGCTTTAGAGTTCACTCAGGCAGTCATTGTATTTCCCCTGCTTTCCATTCACTGTCATATTTACTGAAATTCTGATATACACTCAGACTTCTAGCATTATTCCATTGAAATGACACCAAAAGGTCAATTGCCTAATTGTTTAACCCAACTCTTACTATAATATTCACCTAGTTGTCTTTGCACAAGCTGATATTCACAGCCAAATCTTTGAAACCTTCCGTTTTCCACTGTGAAACCATGATATTCTTAGTTTTCTTCTAACTCTGGCAAGATTTCATTTTCCTTTTTGGTGCTTATTCCTCTTTCCAAAATGCAAATAATTCCCTAAGATTTCATACTTAGCCCTTGATTTTCATCTGCATGAAGGATCTGCTGGCATTCTTATGCTTGGCTTAGTTTTGCTGATCTCTATCTCGAACTCTGATATCTCAGCCTTAGACCCACATTTCAGATTGTTTGCTGGACATTTCCATTCAAATGTCACCTCAAAATTCACTTTGGAACTGAACTCCTTGTCATCATCCTAGAAAATCAGCTTTTCTTCTTGAATTCTTATTTCTGTTAACAGCATCATCTCTTCTACTATTACAGGTTTAGATACTTTAATGAGTTTGTTTTTCTCCCCCAATCTCCCATATAAATCAGTCAGTGCATTTGGCTGATCCTTCCCTCGAAATGTTTCCAATATCTGTCCATTTTTCTCCTTTCCTAGAGCTAGCACCCAGTGTAAGTATCATGACTTTTAAATTCCTGACAAGAAGCTCCCCAATGTCTGGAGGCACAAACTCCTTACACAGTTACTCAGGAGAGCAAGGACCAGACTAGATTCTACATTGATCTCAGCTTTGATCACTTGAGTCCTTTCCTACAGATTCTGAGAAAGAGTTCCCCAAACTTGCTAGTTTATTCAAATACCACCAATCTTTCCAGGGGCAATTTAACTCCCGTGTTTATCACTATGCCTTCCCAGAAAATTCTAGCCCAGTGTAAGCTCTTTCTTCCACTTAAATCACCTGTGAGTCTACTGTACACATCTATGATACCTGCTATTTTACTATTTAACTTTTCCCATGCATATATAGAAGACACTAAATGATCACTGACTAAAGAACGACCACACTCTGACTTATAAATTCCTGAATTTCTAAAGATACTGTTTCTATATTTTGGTGAGCAACAGGAGAATAAAACCTAGTATGAGCATAATTAAAAAAAAAAAAAAACCAGGTGCAGTCTATAAATTATTATTGAGGGTTATTTTCTAGAGACCCTACTAGTACTTATAAATAATCCCACACACCAAATGAACAGTGTTCTTTTTAAGGTACAACTTGCAGTGGGACTATTAATTTTTGGTGCACATTCCATATATTCATCAGTTTTCAGATACAGTGACATTATCTAAGTACTGTGTCACTGGATTATACAGCATCATTGTATTGGGGGAGGGAGTTAGAATACATTTTCCAGTACTTAGTACGGGACTTCTTCCTTAATTGTGTAATGGCTTTCCACTGTGGGAAAAGGTAGTTCCTGAGAAGTGCTTTCCGAAACAGATATATCATTTTTTATTGTCTATTTTCTTATGCGTTATAGGGTTATCTTTAGTGAAATCTGTTTAATTTAAATGCTAATAGTGGCAGTACATACAGTATTTTTTCACCATATTTCTCACAATATATCAGAAATTCTGAAGTCATTCAATATATGAAGCTTTTCAAGATGACCTTAGGAAAGCATTTTACTATCTTTAGGTCACTAGCTGGCATCACTGTCTAAAAGCTGCCTAACAGCTACAGGTATTATAGATGATAGTTCCAAATGGAAGCCTGGTGAAATGTAATTAACACAAAAGGAAATATGATTTTAAAAAGTCCTGTTCGATATTTAAGTATAAGAGCTACAGCTTAAAGGCACCAGTCCGCAGAGCATGTGACTCTTCATCTCGGGGTTGTAAGTTCAAGCCCCATATTGGGTGGAGAGACTACTTTAAAACAATAAAATCTTAAAAAAAAAAAAAAAAAGCAAGCTTAGATACAGGGCAAATGTATTTACCAGATAAGAAATTTTCTTTGTCTTCTTTTTTTAAATATTTGTCTATTTTTGAGAGAGAGAGAGAGAGAGAGAGAGAGAAAACGCACACAGGCAGAGGAAGGGCAGAGAGAGACAGAGACACAGAATCCGAAGCAGGCTCCAGGCTCCAAGCTGTCAGCATGGAGCCCGATGCGCAGCTCGAACTCACAAACCACGAGATCATGACCTGAGCCAAAGTTGGATGCTTAATCCACTGAACCACCAAGGTGCCCCCAGATAAGAAATTTTCAAGGGCAGTTTCCAAGTTTCTCTTGAATTTTTAAAAACTTATTCTAGAGTCCATGAGCTTGAAAGCTCAAGAAAAGAATTTACTTTTTCTGTGCCTCTTTAATGTTTCAGGCTGCATACTCTCTTTCCTGGTATAGTGGAGGTAAAGATCCATGTGGGGAGGAAATCCTAAGAATAAATAAAGGGATTCTTCTCTCTTCTTCTCTCTTCTTGGCCAAGAATACAGTTACATTCACCTGACCTCAATAAGGGAAAATAGAATTTTATTGCACAGTAGTTAGATGTTCTAGGAAATCTATTCCTGAAGAGTACATGGAAAACAGAGAAGAATAAGATGCGTTAAAAAAAAAGAAAGAGGGGCACCTGGGTGGCTCAGTTGGTTAAGCATCCGACTTTGGCTCAGGTCATGATCTTGTGGTTCACAATGAGTTCACGTTTCAGCTCTCCGGCTGTCAGCTCAGAGCCTGGAGCCTGCTTCGGATTCTGTGTCTCCCTCTCTTTCTGTCCCCCAACTTTACTCAGGCTCTGTTTCTCTCTCTCTCTCAAAAATAAACAAACATTAAAAAAAAAAAAAAAAGAAAGACAAGGAAAAGGAAAAGGGATACCTGGCTGGCTCAGTCGGTAGAGCATGGGACTCTTGATTTCAGGGTTGTGAGTTCAAGCCCCATGTTGGGCACAGAGATTACTTTTTAAAAAACTGGGATATCCTAACAATATCTGGTGATATATGTTTGATAAAATAGTTTAAAAAGAAATGCAACATTAAAGATGGCACTAATATAAAGGACTTGTTTATCCTCACCTTTTTGGACCTCCAACAACGGCAGTACACAGCTTTATCTCCCAAATCCTCCATGTCAAAAGCATGTACTATCTTGGGGTTGTCTTTCTGGATGTGAAGGTTTACCATAGATTTGTTGCGATGATCTTTAACATAAAATCTTTTGTAAGCTAGATAACCAATCGCAGCTGTACCAGCAGCAATAGTAACTGCTGCGATCCATTCAACTAGAGTAAGGAAGGAAAACAGGAATAATTATCAAAACCAAAATATATGCTAATAATGTGTATTTTTACTAACATGAATATTCAGGAAATCCAGTTTTTGAGTTAAGCATCCCAATAATCAAAGGTTTTTACTGTTAACAAAATGATCACAACACATTGGTGTAATAGTTCTTGTTAAGACTTTCCCCAGCCTTTACTGAGGTAATTGTGTATTTTCTATTGAATGCTGATGGCTAAATCAAGGTAGAAGGAAACTTAAAAATTATTTTATAGATGGACAAGGAAAAACCATGCTTAATAATTTTTAAAGTGCTCATAAATAGATTTAAAATACACGTAAGACTGTAGATACCTATTGCTTAAAAACAGACAAACAAACCCTGATACATTAAAAAATTCAGATGACGGGGTGCCTGGGTGGCTCAGTGGTTGAGTGTGCGACTTCAGCTCAGGTCATGGTCTTGCAGTTCGTGAGTTCGAGCCCCGCGTCGGGCTCTGTGCTAACAACGGCTCAGAGCCTGGAGCCTGCTTCAGATTCTGTATCTCTCTCTCTCTCTCCACCTCCCCTGCTCATGCTCTGCCTCTCTCTGTCTCTCAAAATAAATGTTAAAAAAAAAAAAAATTCAAATTACAAAGACTCCCCTCCCCCCAAAAATCAGGAGGTGATTATGTTAATAAAATGACTCATCAGAGTTCATTTAAATAGTAGGTCCTTTAGTGATTTTAAAATGTAAAATAGGGGTGCCTGGGTGGCTCAGTCAGTTAAGTATCTGACTTCTGCTCAGGTCATGATCTCCTGGTCTGTGAGTTCCAGCCCTGTACTGGGCTCTGTGCTGATGGCTCAGAGCCTGGAGCCGCTTCAGATTCTGTGTCTCCCTTTCTCTCTGCCCCTCCCCCCTCACTCTCTGTCTCTCTCTCTCAAAAATAAAATAAACATCATAAAAAATTTTTTAATGTAAAACAGAACTGGTATCTGAAGGAAAAAAAGGACAAATGAAACAAAACATAACTGGTATCTGAAGAAAAAACAAATAAAGGACAAATAAAACAAAACCACCCCTTAACACTAAACATTCAAAGAAATATATCCAGTAGGATTCTGGGCTTCAAAGTCATTCAAAAGTGTTTGTTTTTAAATTTCAAAGTGCTTTCTCATTAGAATAAAAATCAGAATGTATTAATTTCATATAAAAGATGAATATAATTAGTCTCTAATTACAGAGAATATAATATTCTCACTTAATATATTCTAAATTTCCATTATCCACCAGTGTATGAGGATTTGAATTCTCTACAAACTTCATTTTAAATTTAATGACATTTTTCTACTCAATTATTTGCTTGACTAACAGGCCATGTTTTCATGTTGCCTTCAAGGAGCCCTTAGAAACCCAAGCACTTAACTACCCCAATTCCACAGAACGCTGGAGAGAAGAAAGCTCTGCATAGTCTGGTTAGCCTCAGCCTCAGAGGAGAGTTGTCTATTCCCAGCATGGAGTGGACTGCAAGGAAGAAGTTGAACAGGGGTCAGGGTAAACACACGGGACTGCTTCCCAGCACTTCCTGAGTCAGATCTTCACAGTATCTCAAATAAATTCCCAAACTATCGAATAAAGCCCTAGAGAGATAAGTACAAAAAACATATTCCAAGGCCAAATAAAAACATATAATGAATAATTAACTGTATGGCTTACTTGCACTAGAGTCAAATTTCTTATTGCACTAATATGATTAATCACCATTCCTAATAGTGCCCTACATTAAATTGGAGCAAGCTCATTCTTACAAAACTGTAATGGGAAGGAACAACCATTCTCACACTTAGTTCCTTTTAGCTTGGTCCTCTGTTTTACCTTATTTAACTATTTTTTATCAAATGTTTGCACGTTCCTTGGATTCTATTTTCAACCATAGTATTTTTCTTTACATTAATAGTTTATTTTCTTCCTACATCATTTTCATTCTTCCTTGCTGAAATCCCCTAAGATAAACAAACGTGATGTCCTTCCCAGGTGCTGCGTGACTGAGAAAACAAGTTAGTAAGTTATTTGACAGCTTCAAACCTTTGGACTCATTGAAGAATGTTTTTGACTACACAATTTTTGTAGATTGGTCTTGAATTTTAGTGCTGCTTCATGATATTACCCTGCAGCAATTCCAAGCAGGGCTCAAACTTTGCTCTGATTTCTAGCCTGGTTCATGATCTTCCTTTTTGATGTATTATTTACCATGGAACTCTCTTGAGAAAGTATTCTCTATGTCAGGAGCTGTAGCAATGCACTTCTAAGCTAATGGAAAGTCACTCTGAACAGCTAATGTACCTATCACAAAATGGGGTAAAATATTCCTTTGCTTGGTATATGCTCAATTATGTTGGCTAAATTTTATCATTAGTATAAACTTAAAAGGAGGAAATATCCCAAAAGAATAAAATAACACAACTCCCTAGATACTGTTGATCTTAGTTACACCTTACTTTTTAGGTGAATTATGAAGTAATCACTAACGATTTATTTTAATGGTGCCTACATATTACAAAAAGGCCTGAGATCCAAGGAACAACTAAAATTGGTTAAGATTAATTTGTCTCGACATAAAGAGGGAGTCCTATAGGAATTTCTGTCTGAAGCTAATGATAGGTTAAAAGAATCTTTAACCATGAAAACATTCTTGCAGTCTCTTTCCTCTGAATCCAATATTAGCCACTGAATCCATATGGTGACTTTTCTTTTAAAACTTTACCTCCCTGGAATTTTTGACAGTGGAATAAATGACAGAATAACTGACACAGAAAAGAGGCAATAGAAAATGAAAGAAATGGGAACTGACTCTAGATATTACTGAAAAGTAGCTGCCCATGGGGAATCAAAACATGCACTGTAACCGTACCCCTTAACAAGGGTCACTTTTGACCCTATATAAATGTCACAGTACCATGTGTGCTAGGAAAATGGCTTTGCATTTGCTCCAATTGATTTTTCAGAATCATAGAGCCAGATAAATTCTTAAGAATTTCCTTTTCCCCTCTTCACAAATCCTAATTCTCTAATTTGTCTCATTAGAGACAAATGGAAAAGTTTCCAGAATAAGAAATTTGTTTTATCATTTCCTTATTGCAGCCTGAATCAGTTTTTTTTTTCTGGCAAAAAGCTGTGGATGCCACTGGCAACCCTAGAGAAAAGAAGGAAAAGGAAACAATGTAGAGATAGTCAAGAATGACAATGGATTTAAAAGTCAATAATTAGAATAGAGAAAGAATTGAAAACCCAAGATAGTAAACAAATAAAAACAATAAAACCAAAGTGATACTTAGTTCTTGGTAGCAGATATCTTCTATTAAGAATAAACACAATCTCAGAGGCAAAAAGAGATTTTACCAAGACTCAATTTTTAAAGACATTTCATTTGGACCTCTCAGACACTCTATCTTGAGCACTACTTCTGCCTCGTCGGATTTTATCCTCACTTCCCTTCTCTATAGATAGCTCTCTACAGGTAACAGTATTTCTACAGTTAGATCAAACTCCACTCTGCCCAATTTTGCTTAACAGTGCTTTCTATGTACACAAAGAAATACAACTGATAAGCCAATATAAAGAACAAAATGCAGAAAATACCTTTCTAAATAATCCCTCCCATTCTTACTCTTCCCTTGGTTTACTACTGTATAACCCTGGTTTGTATAATATAATATTGGTTTTCTCTCAGCATTATTCAGAGATTGAGAAAACATAAACTTGTCTCCAAATCCCTTGTTTATAACCCATTCCTCAGCTTTTCTCTACTGTGGGAATAATTTTGCTTTAACTTAGAAATCTCACCCTTTCTGTTCCTTTAACCTCTTTTCTGTCCAAAACGGTCCTCTCTTGCCCAGTGTCAACTGCCACAGAATCAGAATGTTCTTTTTTTCTCAGGAGAGGGGAAGGGGAGCTGTGTTTAAATCTTTGCCTCCCTAGGTCTCTTCCCCAGATTGGTAGGGTGTGCCTGGTAATGTTTTTTTCTCAGGCCTGGCACACAGGTGGTGTTCAATGTTAGCTGGGTAAAAAAAAATAATAGATTACTAATTTGAATTTGCAACTCCATCTGTCCATCTTACCATCACATTGCTCTTATACCAAATGACTTATCTTTGACCTCATCTTAACTACTGTATCAAAGTGTGGGATTTAAACATTTCAGATTAAATATAAACCTTTATTATGGAATATTTCAGACATATATACAGGGATTACTATAATGAACTCCTATGTACCCTCACCCAGCTCCACCAAGTATCAACTCACTACCAATCCTATTACATCTATAGACCCCAACAACCCCAATATTTGTTTACTGTTTATAACCTGAAGGAGCAGATTCAATGAGTTTTGGAGGTATAAAGGAGCAAGACATTTAGTGAACTTCCTAAAAGTCATATACTGGGTATGAGGAGGAGTCACTAGACTGGGGACTCCATAGTAGTGACTATAACAAACTAATATCTGGTATCAAATAAAAAATAAGTTCGGTATACGTATGTTGATTATGCCTCAATAAGGGAAAAAAAAAAGGCTGGTATCATTCACCAAATGGGTATTAAGAATCATCTCACTGCATGGGATCTTAGGATTTTAATTCCACTTATCTTCACTGCCTCTCCCAGATTCATGTCCTGGCCTGATCCCCATTAATTTTATTTATAACCCACCACCCATTATTTTTCTTCTGAATATAAAGGAGAATTCTGCATGCATAGACACATCCTTTTATTTTTTATTTAACATATACTTAAAAACAGCTTACCTCTGCTAAATACTTTTCTAAGCCCTTTATAATTATTAACCTATTTAGTTGAAAACAAGTATCTTAATTCATCTTCCCCAAACTCAAAAATGCAGATTTTAGTGTGGTTTTAAAATTCAGAAAAAAATGAAATCTAAACATTACAAGGTGGATTCCTAAGACATTATCTGTCCCTACCTTGTCACATTACTATACTACATTTGAGGAAGTAAGAAGGTGCTGGTTAAAGAGTTTTACAAAGGTTTTGTGTCTTTTGGCAGTCCTCCTAACAGCCTTCATGTTTTTAGGTGAAATAAAAAGTAGTTACTTCTAACAAAGTTGAGTACTTCAAGTTTAAGCTGATCACCCTCTTCACCAAGCAATTTCCTGTACCTTAGAGAAGGGCAAGTTAATGGGAAAGTCACCTCTGGATTCCCCTATGGTTAGATTTTAAAAAAGCAACCACAAACTTGTCTTGATTCCAAGAAAGATTAGCCTGCAGATAGTGTTAATAAGTCCTAGAGTTCACCTACTTCACATTTCAATAGTATGCTATCTCAATGGTTTAGTGCCCATTTACACCAAATGACTCCACATTTTAAAAACCCATGTTGGAACCTTCCAGCCTATATCACGTAAGTGCAAACTGTCTTCCTATAGAATGATCAGTGGCTTAAGTCACACGAGTATCTTATTTTACACAACAGTCTTATTCCTGAGAAAATACAGGTTTGGGTTTTTTTTAAATCAAAAACAAAAATCCCTATTTTAAATGCACCAAGGTGCCTCTATTTAAAGGACTCTCAAGATGAGCATCCTTTGAAACAATTTTTGCAAATAATCAGCTCCTACATACTTCATTAGTAACTTAAAAATGTCATGGGTTATCCACGTAACTCTGCCAGGTCGCCAGGTAACTTTTGGCAACAGAAGTGGAATTCTCCAACTTAAAGAGTGGATTACAAAATTAGGTCTCAAGTTAACAAGGAGCCTTTACAGAACCTGGCATTGACTCTAGATGCTCAATATTTACTAAATGAATCAATAGGGCTCTTTTAAATTAACTTCTGGACAATCTCTTTACCTTTACTTAACTACTGCTACAGACAACCAAACTATGAGACATGGCATTTTATACCTGGGCAGAGAGATCGCGTGTATCACGTAGCTGGTGCACACAGTATTACATTAACAGTTATACCACCACCAAGGATTATTACAATGTGAAGGTCTACATTAATCGACTGCTAGAAAAGTCTCAATTTTAATTGGACCTATGTTTCCAAAGCTAGACTAGCACAAGGAAAGCATGGCTGAGAAAGCTGAGAGCTCAAAGAACTCCGTTTTCAATCCTCTCTCCTGGACTACTGCTGATGTTGAGTGCCAGATGCCAGAGGGCTATAATTACAAAAACAAAAAAACTGGGAAAACTGAACTCGGATTGGTTTTCTTTCCTTAAAAAAAAAAAAGAAATATGCAAAACTAGGATGTGATTACTCAAACATTGCTTCAGGCTTGCAGGAAATCGACAGTCTGACGGTGATTTAAACCTGAGAAGGGGGAACCGATTTTTTTTTTTAACCTTTCCTCTTTTCCAGGCCCTGTGACTTAACACAGAAGTGTCTCATGGGAGAACAAGAAAAAAAAGCTAGCGGCGGGACCATTAGGTTTTAGGGTTTGGCTAGTTTAGGAATACTTGGTCCAGACGGGTAGATGCCTCCGTGGCCCCCATGCCTAGAGAGATAACCAATCCTTACCCTGACATCGCCCCCTTTCCCGGTCTTGCCCAGGAAGCTCGCAGGCCCGCCCAGCCCTTGCCCTTCTACATCTCAAGGTTACAGGACTCGCGGGCTCGCATGGCAGCGGTAACAGCCCAGACAGGAGTTGAGGAAGCTGCAATCGGTGCGCAGGCCTCCAGCCTCACCCGCTCCCAGGTCCCACTTCACCTCGTACGCTGGAAGACAGACTCATGGCGCCGTCGCTTGCAAGGCGTATGCACAGGACACTAAGCACAAACAGGCTCCCACGGAGGGCAGGAGTCAAGGTGCGAGAAACGTCCTGCGTGCACCAACTCCAGGCCGCTACGGCGCAGGCGCCGCGACTGGCCGTAAGCACGTGTGTATTGCCACCCTGGCTGATGATGAGCATGCGCGGAGCTGTGTCCCGGCCTTAAAGAAGCTTGAGTCGGGATTTTGACAGCCCCAATACTGGGGAGCGGGAAGAGACTTAGAGAGGTAGCAACTGAGTGTGCGCAACACTAAGGGGCGGAGTCCTGGAGCCTGGGGGCAGGGCTTTGAGAATAGACAAGCTAGGCCAGACTTTTAGTCTCTTCCAGGTGTGCGGGTTTCTCTGGGCAAAGGACAGGTGCTGTAATAACACTTGCCATAATCAGGTATCTAAGATCTTATCCACAGTTTTCTTGCTCAGTTCTGCACCTGCAAGACCGGGTCCAGTCTTCGTAGAAAATGCCAGTAGCAGACACACAGGTATCAATTGTGGAGTGTTATTTCAAAACCTCACTCCTGGCGTGCATCACTTTCTAATGCTTTTGAGTCAGTTATCTCTGGGAACCTTGGAACCTGAGCTAAGGGTTGGGGGGGGGGAGCGGCTTATTTCTACAGGAAAATGTACTGCCCCCCTCCCCCCAAGATTATTCTCTATCTTCTACAGTCTGAAATTAGTGTCGGTTAAAAAATATTTTTTATAAAAGCAGTTTAGGGGGGTTGGAATTGACTCAATGGATGTTTTGGAGATACGTTTTTAAAGAAGCTGCCTGTTTATAACTCCTATTGTCTCTATGCAGGGTGGGGGTTGGAGGGAGCTGATTGTAGCCTCCGAAGCCATACTTGGCACAACTACTACCTCCCAACTCTCAACACTTGACTGATTGCTCTTCATCATTGGGAGCCTCTGGCGTCTTGAGCTGGACCCCAATAAGCGCTGAAACTCCCACTGAATGAATGAAGGTACAACAGCTCCGCTGGCATTGTAACGCCAGCTGAGGAGTGGGTGTGAGAAAGACCTGGAACGCGCTCGCCCCACCCGGTATCCATCAGCTCTCCCGGGCGGCGCCGAGCTCCCGCCCCGCTGCGGGGGGTCCCGTCGGGCAGCCTCTGGGCATGCTCAGTAGCAGCGGCAGCCGCGGGTCGCGCAGTCGGAAGCTCGCGGCTGCGGTGGCTGTGCAGGCGGCGCTGACGCGCGCGGCAGCTGAGGGGACTGGAGGACGGCGGGAGGGGGCGGGAGCGCGGGAGGTGGGGCCGCCGTCGCCGTCAGGGCCCCTGGGAGCGCGGGGCGCCGCCGCCACCTCTCCTCGTCTCGGTTCCGTCTCCAGGGCTGCGGCGGTAACTGTGGCCGCAGCTGCAGAGCAGCGGGAGTCAGGAGCTGCGCTCCGCCGAGAGTTGGGCAGGGGAGCGCCTGCGCCTCCGCGGCGTCATGGGCCCCCTTCCCGGGCCTCAACGGGCACCAGCCGCGGGAACCCCCGGGCCTCCTCGCGGCCAAGCCTGAGAGACCCCCGGGTTCTCCGGCTCCCCCTCCCTCCGCCCTATTTTTTTCCTGCTCTTGCTGCAGCTACAGCTTCTGCTCTGTTATGGCAACGGAGCCGCCATCCCCCCTCCGACTCGAGGCTCCTGGCCCCCCAGAAATGCGGACCCCACCCGTGAGCGAGCCCCCCCCCG